ACAACACACATAAGCAGGTCCCAAAGGGTAGACACAACATACTAATTCACATGTGTTAGCACAAGGCTGAGAGTAGAGAAATGAAGCTTTCATTGCTTCTTTTCTCTGTTTCAGGTCACCATTTCTTATTTCACATTTGGGGTGCAGGAAGAATTATCTATTGTCCTCCATCTGTGGTCAGATTCCTGCAAATCATCTGAAGAGGTAACTGTGAAAGTGCTGCAGGTAGACTAAATCTCTTGATGTCAGGGAACCTCTGCACATTTTATAAGCAATGTTACATTGACAAAAAATACTTATCACATGCAGCATGCAGTGACTGACTTGCAGAGATTGTGCCGACTGTGTGTCTTTATGCTTGAATTTGCTCCTGCATTTTGGTAGCATGGAGACAGCTCTATTTGCCGCTTTGAAAGGGTTGAGCTGGGATTTCAGACTTCTTCTGAAGCACTCCACAGAATTGACTTCAGGTGTTACTTTAACCAAGAATTTCTGCAGTGTACAGATGCTTCCAGCAAATGTTCAAAGCTTCCCTACACACCAGTCCCAAACATTGTGTTGGCAGCATAAAGGTGGGTTTTAGTCACTGAAGAGCATGCTGTGAGGGCTTGTTCTGAGGCACAGCCTCTGCTGCCACACGACTGCGCCATTCCTCTGCACAAGGGAAAAGGCGGCCAGGCGCTGCCTGGTCCTCGTGGCAGGCTCACAAGGTGGGGTAATAGATCAGGTGTATCAGACTGTTATTGTTCCTGGCTGTATTTGTATTTGTTATGGACTATAAACCCTGATGATCCCACGAAGGGTTATGACCATGAATCCCAATTGGCTGAGCAGTGCTATTTCATGGAGGGACAAGTCCGGCAGTAATGAATTCAGTCAACATAATGATTTCGGTTTCACTGCACTGCTCTGCTTCCTGGGAATCTGCAGGAGATGAGTGACTGTGTCACAATCATAAATTCAGACACACACAATGCTGCATCTTCTTATAGAGCTTTAAGTCCCTGTGAAATGTCAGACTAATAAATATGATGATCGTATTTGCTATTTGGCAAAAGTATTAATTAACCTGGAAAAGTTAATAAAAATATATTCCCCAAAATTATGCAGCAGAGAAAATATTTTTTTTCTTATTCATGGTTATATGAATGCAAAATGCCATGGGTTCTTCATCTTTAATACCTAAGGGATTTTTAAGCATATTGCTTCCATAAAACTTGGTTCATCAGTACAGTACACAGCCCAGATATGCATATTTAATTACTCTGAAAGTAATTTACTTGTACAGATGGTGGCATTAGTAGGTCTTACTTCAATTTAAATTACTTCTATTTGAAAAATAATGTTATTTTGCTACGAATCTTGAGTGAAGAATTCACTCTTATTACAGATGAATGATACTTTTCATTTGTAATTAATCTATGACTAATCTAACGCTGCCCAGATAAATATTTTCTCTCCAGTTTTACAAATCAAGGCATCCTCTTTCCAGAAGGTTGATCTAGTTGTATTTTATATCCAAACCTGCAGACTGGGGAGGGGACCCCAGTCTGCTCTTGGGGCACATGAATAAAGAGCCACAGGAGAGTTTGTTGAACATCCCTGAGACTTTCCAAGGCAGAGATGTTACAAAATTGTTTGCATCTTTCTGTAAGATTAAGCAGGAATTAAAGCAAAAGGGTGCACTTCAGGAAAATACCTACCAGGCAGAAGATTTCAGGAAAACAGTGACTCAATGTACATGTGTGGACTTTGGGAGAAGCTTTTATGGGCAAGGATCCAAAATATTCTGGGCCGTGAGCCCTCCCAGCAGTGCAGGTAGCAGGGCCATGGGGGTTGTCCATCCCTTTGCCATTACTGAACCCCCCTGCACCACCAAAATAACAGCAATTCCCAGGAGCAGGCAGGTAACAGAACCAGGGAAAGCTACCAGCATATTGCATTACCTCTTACATGCTTCCTGGGAAAATACATCTGCTTCTTCAAGTGAGATTGTTTTCTTGAACAGCTCTGCAAAAGGTCTACATGTGTTAGGCTTTCTTCAGTGAACCCCATCTCTATTCAAGCAGTGGCTCTCTCGAAGGGGGCTAATGTGGTTGCTATGGTTAGGATTCCTGTTTTATTGAAGACTAAATGGCCAGAACCCACATAAAGGGCTCCCAAGTGGCCCTAAAATGTGCTCTGCCTTTCCTTTCTGCCATCTCTCTTCAGGACAAAACCATTTTTTAACAGTTGATCTGATTTTGCAGGCTTGTCCAGAATAGGCATATTTGTCCCTTCTATCTATGTAACTTTAACATTGTGATCTGGATTTAATGCATTTTCAAACCCTGTGGACCTGCTTCATAGAGCTGGAAAGCACCTGAATTTCCCAGAGATTTTTGGGGGAGCTGGAGGTGATGGGTGAGCTGAGCCACACTAAGACTGACAGAACCACATGTTTTTGTCACTCTAAAATTAGAAGGGGGGAAGGGGGGGGGGGGGGGGAAAGAGGAAATGTCATGATTTTGACCAGCAATGCTGTACAACCCAAACTGGACTACACAGCCTGAAGTGCAGAGGTTTTGCCCAGGCAGGGCAACCCGTGTGCCAGAAGAGAGAAAAGGAACAGGACACATCACTCTATGAATAAATCTGCTCCTGCTTTAGCAAAGGAGCTATGGTGCTCTGTGTCTGGCATTCAACTTGCTGACTGCTTTTCTTTTTAATTATCCTAATTAGGAAAAAACTTTACCTCCTTTGGCTTTCATATATTTACACTTACACAGAATTTCCAATAGCGTCTTTTTCCCAGGAAATCTAAGCACATTTGCTTTCACTGAGTTTACAAAGCATCAAGGTCACATCTTTTCCATTTTGAATTTTTGTTTTTTCAAACCGTCTGTGGTTGCTGCATCTCCAAGCAGATACCCAGCATTCTCATTATCCTACCCACTGCTTCAGACTCCAGCTGCCAGGGCTGCACCAAGCTGTGCTCACAGACTTGCACCCTTGCGCTCCTGTGCAAGAAATGCTTGGAGCAGGGAAATGCTCCTGGGCTTCTCATCCCCAACCCTTCAGCAATGCTTTGCTCCAAGGGATTTCTCACCATTGTTCTCTCTTCAAGGGAATGGGATCCCTACTTGTCCTCACCCCTTCCATACCAGGGTGATCCCACAGACTCCCCAACATGACTGCCATCCCACTAGTCCAGCCATGCTGGCCGTAACCCTTCAAAGACCCCAGCAGCCATGTGCCAAACCTCAGCAGTGGGTCCAGGTGTGCCTGGTTAGCAGGGGGTGCTGAACAAGCTGGGGAGGTCAAGAATAGCCTGTGTCTATAGCTGGAGGGAGCAGAGGTTGCAAGTAATAGTCCTGTAGAAGTATAGGAATAAGAGAAGGTGAGTCAGGAATTTGGAGAAGATGGGGAGTAAAAAGATGCAAACTGTAGGATGGCTGTGGCTGAGCTGATCTCAATTACAGTATTTCTCAGTTTAAGTATGCCATTTTAAAGCATGGAAATTCAAGGCTCCAGTTTGTATTTTATGACACAGAGCCAAAAGCCCAAAACAGAAGAAGCATCTTAACAGTTCTGTTCCTTATTTTCATACAAATTCACACACTTGTAGTCATACGCATATAAAGTCAGCCTTAAACACAAGATCCATGGTAGGTTTTTCAACAAAATAATCCTTTAGACACTGATAAATCAAGCAACAATGACACTGGGATATCATAGCATCACTAAAAATGTCACCACAGTTAACAAGCCTGCTTGCTTCAACAAAAAATATTGGTGAATAATCATCCGTCAGTTAGCAACGCTAAAAAAAATACATGCCTGGTGTTCCTTGCCTAAAAATGATGGGAGTGGAAACATTGTTTTCTTGCCAGGTTATTTTCATTTCAGGAAGAGAAATAACCAGGGGAAACATGGAGAGAAGAATAAATAACAAGAAGCAGTATGAGGGGAAGAAATCCTTCATAATTATGCCATTGCCTCTGACTTTCTCACTATCAGATTCCTCCCTGTACCACACTGTGCCAAACCACTCACACGCTGGGCATCCTCCAGATGAATCAACACAGTGGCACACGGCTTCAAGCACACATCAGAGGCACAGAGGAGGTGTTTGATATTGTATTTATGAACAAATCGGAGACAAGAGCTTGGTAGGGGTTTTTTTTTGGAGGAGGACGAGTAAAGAAAATAAGATTCTATGCCAGCTTGGGAGGCAAAACATCTCATTATATTTTTTAAATTTATATTAACCACAGACTCTGTTCTGCTTCATCCTCTAAGTGGTAAATTAAAACAGCACACATGCAATCTGTAGATTTGCTCCTTTGCCCATCACTCAGAAAATACAATATGAAAGACTGTCTGCACTAATCCAGGCTCCTGCATCTGTCCTGATGCTGCACTCTGGGGCAGAGGGGCTGAACTGAGGCATTGTGCTGCCTGCAGCACATGGAGGGAGCTCCAGGTGCCACCAGGTAAGCATGGCCAAGCACCATCATCCTAGTCAAGCACAGAACTCCTTCCCAATATGGGAAAAACTCCATTTTGGGTATTTTTACTATAGGAATTTCTTATTTTACTTTGCAAAGAAAAACCAACTGATTACATCCACAAGCCACCAGGTATGACTACAAGCTATAACCTCCTAGTTGCCTGGCAACTTCCCTGAGACCAACCCACAAAGATTTCACTTTTGTTCGAAAGCATTGGTGATGACACACAAAACTTTTCCAAACTATGTTGATGAAACCTTAACAGCTCTTAAGATAAGTTTTCTCACCAATAAATATCTGCTCAGCAGGAGGTGACAGAAAAAGGACTTCCAGAGACCAGCATCACAAGGTGACAAAAAGAGAAAGCTCAAAGGCTCAAGTTTTAGGCCAAAGAAAAGAATTCATGTACTGCATGTTCAGCCTCTTCTACCAAATGTTATCAGCACAATTGTGTTCTACTGGTGAAAAGAGGATGTCAGGCCAAGAACTTGATTGTTGATCCCTTACCTTTAAGAAGCAGAAGTAATCTCCATCCATAGATAGGGCCTTGCACCCAGCTTCCTTCTGTCTGCAAAGTCTCCCCTGTAAACACTCTTTTTTTTCCTCTTTTATTTTTTCCTAATCTAAAATAGAAAAACCAGATATGGCAATCATTAATCAAGCAAATAATAAACTTAGTATCAGCTAAGGGAGAAGACAGAAGCTGAGGAGAGGCAGACAAAACACTCCAGAAAATCTCCAGTAGAATGAGACTTTTCTCCAACTGAACTGTAGCTCATACAAGATCCTCACAAAGAATGAAAATGGTCAAGTTTCAAATATTCCACTGGTAAGAGTTTGATCAGCAAGTCATGAGGCACATAAAATATTAATATTTGCACATATGTTGTCATGTGTATCAGTGACAGAAGTTTTTATGCTAAGATGGGTGTGTGGGAGAGCTCCAGAGGTGGAATGAACACCTCCAGCTTGCCCTTTGTGGCTCTTTTTTCCCAGCCTACACCCTTGCAGCAACTGAGAGCTTGAAACAAAACCAGAGCCTCCCGCTAGGGTAAAGAGTGAAATGCAAACACTTTCCTATGCCAGACTCTGAAAAACATGACTAATACACACTTTCCTTACATGAAAACATTTCCCAGTGCCCCAAATACATATTTTCCCAAGTAAGGCTGACATTAGACTTCAGAGGTTGGCTGTGTGCTTTAGGGGATTTAAGGACTTAAACATGGACAGTGAAACAAAACTGACTGACTTCCCACATCAGACCACTGGCTGAGTGGGACACATCCTTTAGAAAAACACTGAGTTTTGATAGGCATTCCACCAGTCTCAAAAGGCATCCTTTTCTGTGCCTAACTACCTTCACTCTTAAAAACATGTGATGTACTCAAGTTGCAATTTTCCTGATTTTAACCTCAATTATTTGAGGGGTTTATACAAATTTTTACTTCATTATCAGCCATGTTACAAGTATTCAGGTAGTGGGCATATTCACTATATCCAGGTATTTATGCATCCACTTCCTTGCTGTTAGTTTATCATATTTTTTTTACTGTAGACTTAAGTATGTTCTATCTAGTCTCCTCAGGAATAATATGCTTTTATTATTGAGGGCTGCGGGGAGTGGGGTGGGTGTGTGGGCTTAGTTAAAAAACTCACTCAAACTCCAGCACTGTCAGTGATGTGAAAACGAATCGTTAGATAAAAGATGTTTTCCCCCTTGTGTTTCTCAAATGATTAAAAATGCTTACAGCAAGAGAAGGATGCAAATTTCAGGAGGAGTAAATGGCTGTGGGTCAGGTAATGGATGTGTTTAGGTATGTGTGCAGGGGGGCACCTGGGGGTGTATTTGCCTTGTTTGTGTATACATGGACTTTTTGAATGCCATAGTACTATGGGCAAACTATACAAGACCTAAACAAACTTTGAAAGCTTAAAATGCAGTAAATTATGGGGTTTGTAAAAACAGAAAATAATCAGTAATGGTAACTAAGATGGATTTTATATTTGAATTGAGTGCTCTTCCCCAAAACAAGTTTTCACTAAAAAAAAAACCCACCTGATGTTTACTAGATTATTTATTGCACCTTTATCTATATTACAGATGCCCATATAAAAAAAGGAGCTATTATTTTTATGTCTTACAAATATATACATTAAATCATGAATCACACATAGGTCTGTATGCAGCATGTCTCTGTGACAGTCACTATTTTTCTTGTACAAAATGTCTGTAAGATGCCTAGCCGGAGACTGCTTTTGCTGGCTAAAAAATAATCACTTGCAGAAAGCTCAAACTTCTGTCAACTGTATGAAATGAGAAGGCAGAAGGCTATGCCCCTCAGTATTTTTGTTACATGGATCAGGAAAACAAATTTCAAGAATTAACGGTGCAAATTTTTAAATATGCCAGAGCATGGCAATTCTAAGCACTGCTACAATTTACAGCAAGGGAAAGGTGTTGCTTTCCTATTTGGAAATGCCTGCTACAGTCTAACCTCTTTGTCAACATGTTTGCAGTTTTGCAACATCCATTTCTAAGTGAATTACCTTATGAAGGAAACCAAAAGGCAGAAAACTAAAGAAATAGGGGTCAAATTCCTTCTGTGAGATCTACCTTGTAAAATTATCCAGAATGTAATAATACCATGTTATTGACTTAAGCACAGTTCCCTGTGACATGCTGCAGCTGACCTGTAATTTTTATCCTACATGTTGCCAGCACTATTAAAATGACACTTGTGAATGTAAATTAAGCTCACAAAGGGGACAGATTGTATGATTCTGGTTTCTCTCAGATGCCTGTAGGCTATCACAGGTTCCATATGTGAAGTAATTATGTTCACTGAAGGAAAGAATAAATGCTGTCAAATTGTGTACTGAGAGAGAAAGCAGCTATTATATTGCAGTAGTCACTGGAGCATTGCCTTAGAAAGTGAAAAGATGTATAAGAAAATAATAAAAAAGAAAAACTGGAGCAGAGCTATATTAAATATAACCTTTAAATGAGTATCTGCTTTTGAATACATATTACACAAAGCTAATATTTCACAAATAAAAGTGTTTTACCTTTTTAATCACATTTTCTTTCTCACATCTAGAGGGCACAGGGCAGAATATTGTTTGGAGGGGTAAAGGACAGGTGGAGCATCTTTCAGCTTTCTGTGTTTCCTCAGGAAGAAGAGCCCCCCAAGGCCTCAGACATGCTGTCTCCACTTCCTTCCCCACCACAAACCTCCTCCCCAGCAGGCAGACATGTCCCACCCCCAGCCCTGCTTCCCACCCCACCCATCTCTCATGGCCAGCTCCAATCCTCTGCCCGCTGCAGGCCCCAGTGAGGGCACTAAGGCGGGGCAGGAGCACATCTGAAGACGCCTTGGCTGCACAGGCTGCAGCAGGCTTGGAGAAGGTGAGGCTATGGAAGCCAACATAGCTGCTAAAAGGAAAGGCAACACTTCCATCACCTCCACAGCTGAGTGTGGTCCTGCTCTCCTGTGCCTGGGGGAGGTGAGCCTATATTTAGACCAGTGAGGTCATCAGTGAACCAGCACAAGAGAGGAGAGAATACTAAACTGGAAAAATAGCCTTTTAAAGCCTTTCACTTAGAGGGAACCAAGGACACCAGAAGCAGGGAAAACTAAGTGCTTGTGTGGGTTTGGATTTTCATCCAGAAATGAAGCAAGAAAAGAAAGGAAGTTAGGATGCTCTGGAAAAAAAACAAACAGGAAGGCATGTTTTCTTACAGGGGTATAACTACGGATGTAGAGGCCATGAAGGAGCCCAGGACATTTAAAAACAGAAGTCTGAATGCTTCCCTATGTTTTTACTGTTTACTAGAGTAGCATCACAAAGTTTGGCACTCTGGAGCTTCCCATGGCAATGGAAAGGGGATATTTCTGCAGTGTCCCACCAGTGCTAATTCTGGATCTCTGCAGCCTCAAGCCTAATGGGGTGTAAAAAGTAACCAAGGGTGAATAACTTCCCAACACAGCTGCCCTCCACCCTGCCTGTGCTGCTGTTCCTTGCATGCCTGTCACTAACCTGGCTGCCTTAACAGCAGCCTGTGCTCAGGCTAGAGCTGCCTGCTGGGCAGTGCTGAGAGGAGCAGAGCTGGCTGGAGATGGCACAGCACAGGTATCAGCAAGTCAAGCACTCAGTGTCCTCTGTGGCCCAGAGAGTGGCCTGTCTGTGGCTGAGTTTGTTTGTGTTCACCTGACACTCAGAAGCCAGTACATCCAGCAGACAAACCTTTCACACTGCTCTCTGATGTGAAGGCAGCTCCTGGGGAAGCAAGGCGCCTGATGGAGCAGAGGAGATTCCTGGAAGCTCCCAAGTCCTCCTCCCTGTCCCAAAGGCATGATCAGCTCCTGGAAAACATTGTATGAGAGCAGTCACACCAGGTCTACAGGGTCTTTTTCCAAGCTGGTGATTTTCCTGGTTGTCACCGTGAGGCAATTTTGGTAATTAACTTGTACCCAAGGACCTGTCCTGATTCTGGACAAACATTTTACAGGCAAAGTGGTGGTCTGCCTTGACAAACAACCCTGAAGTCCCCGGTCATGTGCTCACTACCCATCAAATCCTTATGTTCACGTGAGCAGTAACAAGACATTAGGTAACGGCATGGGTTTGTCTCATCAAAGCCACAGCTTGCAGCAAACCATTCCATTTCTGCAACATCACATTTCTCCTTCTGGGAAATTAGAAACTGTGTCACTTTTTTTTTGAGGTTTCTTAGGATAAAAAATCTGACACTTAGCTTTTGCAGTCTCTCCATGGAAGCCATTTTATTAACTGCACATTGCATTTAGTAGAGTTGTTCAGCACAGAGAAATACTCTGAACTGAACATTGCGCAGTCATCCTTGGATGTTTCTGGGCACACACTTCTCCATTACTGCAGGAAAGGGCTGCCAGGCTGCCCCATGCACTGCCACCCTCAGACACAGCATGGTTCACATGTCTTTACCTAAACTCTTTCTATATGTTAAAATATGAGGCTTACATTTGAATTGCCCATCAGGACCAGGGCCTGGCACACGCTGTCACTGCTCATCCTCTGCGTGCCCAGGAGCAGGATAACAGCCTGCCCCAGCCCTGCTCTGTGTTCACCTGACTGAAAGGGCTCCCAGATCACTTGGGTTTCTGAGACTACATCCAGCGCTGTGAAGAAAGAACACATGATCCCATCTCCTTATTTTGGTCATTGCTTTTCCACTTCTGTTTCACTTCCTGGCCAGCTACCCCACTCATCAGCACCTCCTCTGCAACCCCAAACCCTGGCAGCATCTTCCCCTTGGGGATTCTCAGCAGAACCAGCTAACTGCCTCTTTGTTCCAGGCCATCTCGGTAACAAAAGGGCTAGGAGCACAGAGCACAGCCCAGAGAAGCGTCCAGATGCAGGTATCAACACAGGGCAAACTCTTCCATCCCATGCATCAGACCCGCCTCACAGCTCACTACTGTGAGCAGTGGCTAAGAGACAAGAGGAGAGCTACCCAAGCACAGCACAGCTTGAGCAACAGCAGAGGGCTGTGGGAGGAAGCCCCCAGCCATAGCCCCAGGACAGTCACCTCATGCATGTAGGGGCACAGAGCCCTGTGCCCGCCCCATGCTACCAGCCTGCAGCACAGCCCCCAAGCCCCCAGCCCTGGGAGACACGCACCCTGCGACAGAAACCCTCCCAGGAGAGTTTTCTGGGGAGGGGGTGCTCGTGCACAAATGAACCAGCTCATTGTGCAGCCTATTAATACCAGTTGGTCACGGCTGGGTGGGCAGTGCAATGGGCAGACAGCCTGCCTGCTTCCAATTAAACACAGCAGCAGTCACACAACGCACTACTGCAACTTCTTCTTGAATAAAAACCCCTTTGAAATCAACTACCATTTCCTAAGCAGCTGAAAACTATTAAACAACTGTTTGCAGGGTAGCTCATGTCATACGTGGGAGGCTGAAATGTAATGTAGAAATGAGAGGTTTTTTTCTGGTTGGCAGCACTGACAGCAACTATAATGTATGACTCTTTCAGATGCAGCGTGGCAGAAGCAGGGTGAGGATCATCCAGTGCTATTCACTAGAGAAATTGTTACATATAAAGAGAAGGCAGAATCAAGGATCTCGGGATCATGGCAGGAAGGAGGGGTGGGGAGGGAAAAAAGGGAAGATGTGGTTTGCTTTTGCAGTTTTAATAAGGATTTGTGGGGTAATGTTGTGTAAAGGTAATACAGCTGGATCTTTAATAATAATAACTAGAACCAACTCTCCATGTTAACTGACCTTTAAATATTATTGTCCCTTTCAGTTTACCAAAAAGACATTTACTTCATGAAAGATGTTACTCAACTCTGTATAAAGATCCAATAGGCTAAAATATGCTAAACTGACATTTAGAATTATCTCATAACACTTTTTTATGATAACTCGTATTCTCCCCATGTGACTTGAATGTGAGGGTTTGGATTTTTTTTCTTCCGAAGTATTTTGAAACCATTTCAAATAATAGGCAGATATTGCCTAGACATTCAGGCTATCTGTAATGATATTAGGACCTTTCTCAATAGCTGAGTAATTACTTCCTTATTACACTCAAGGCAAGTTGCAATCATATGCCCTGCTCAAGATTTAAACCTCCATCACACAGGTAAAGGAAGCATTCAGACTGACATTTTACATGTGTAACTGCTTTTTCTATAGTAATGAAAACATCTATGGCATATTGCCCTGATAATCTCTGAAATCAAGACAACTGGCAGCACCAGAAAAAAGCCCCACACATCATTGCAGGGGGGAGAAGGCAGTGGGACTCGAGTAAAGGTAGATGTATTAATTCTGCCTATGTTGCAACCATTTCCCAGGGCCCATTTCAGATGCTGCTGGCCCAGGGGCTGTGTGTGCAGCCTTATGCCCTGATGCCCCACTTGCTGCCCCAGACCCCCAGCAGACACAGCAACTCAGCACTCCTCCCTTTCCTGCTCTTTGCAGAGCCAATTTTCCTACACTGGTGAAACAGTTCTGACCTCTAGGTCCTCCATCCCCTGCCACATACTCCAAGCACACCTCCAAATGTATTTGGCGCCATAAACCATGCTTGAGAAAACAAAAACCAAACATTTCTCATTCTTTCTTGCTCCTGTCATGCATAAGATGAAGAGGTTCAAGTTCTGACACCCTTAAACTGGACAGAAAGCAGGAGTCATCCAGCAACAATGAAGACATAAGCCATCCTTGATTTTTTTTAAATTCTGCATTTTCTAACCCTGCATTTTCCACTCCTGGGACCTTCCTCCCCTGGCTACCACACATTATAGCTCAGCTACCTCAAGATCTGTGGGAGATGGGTCCTTTTCCCCAGACATCCTTCAGCACCAAGAGGAGCGAAAATCAGCAGATTAAGAATGTGCATAAGCAAAGACATGGCAAAGTAACACATGATAGTAAACACCATCCAGCAATCCACTTTGGCATTCATGGTTATGGTATGTCATAATGCAAGAGGAAAGACTGGTTATTAATGTGACAAAAGACTGCTAAATGATTAAAAGGAACACATACACAACCAGCAAAGAACTGAAATGGAAGCTACAAAGAAAACCAATGTTTTATGAGAATTTTAGTATTCTGTGATTTCAGCGAAAGAAGCAAAGATAGAAGAGACAAATTATGTCATAAGTGGAAGAAGGCTAATGTAATAAACAAAATCTGTAATATTTTCTAAAAACACATTCTAGATACATAGATACAATGTTCATAGGATGTGTTTTGGTGAGCTCTTCATTCACAATATTTTTAACATTAGCAATTAAAGAAGACAAACCTAATTTTTACTTTGATACTGCAGTTCATTTCAATTGAGCTAGCAGCAAAGTACATGCAAAATATAAACAGAAGACTTCAATAAAACTCTTGAGATAATCATAGCATATCTAGCTCATGTAGGGTTCCAGAGTGGAAACACGTATTATTTATCAGTTTTGCATCTTCCAATGAATTAAAAAAAGAGTATTATCTCTTTTCTTATTTCAATATTTGTTCAGTGAGTCCAAGTAAATTCTAGGTCAGATATTTTGCACTAAACAACAACTAATTATCTTAGAAATCCACAGTGATAAGAAAAGTGAACAGTAAATATGTCATACCCAGGCAACAGCAGAAGGTAAGCTTTTATTTCATTTGCTGTGGATTGCACAAGTTGGTAAATGTTTTCTGGCAGGTGTCCTTCAAATTCCAAAAATAATGGATCCATTTTATGGCATTATCTCAATTTCTATTATATTTGTTGATATCTTTGCAGTGAAACCATATTGTTATTAAGGTTATCGTTATAACAGAAAATTGTGTTGGCTTTTAAAAGCCTGTTCTATTTTATGTGTATATAAATAGGAACATTATGATCACACATGATTCCCATTCGTCCTTGCTATACTCTTGACATTGCTGTAAATGGAAGCAGAGCACAAAGCCCTTACCAGGGCTTAAGATATTGACCCTTTGATTGGCTGCACAGAAACCGGTTTTGCTTTTGTCAAGCAAAACCTGACCCTGATGGTTATATATTCCAAAAGGTACAAATACTGTGTTCTCTTTACCTTTGACCACCAAGGTGGGTCTCTGTGCATCTGTATTTGTACAGTGTGGCAACAGCAAAGCACCCAACATCTGCCATAGGAGTGATTTTTGAGGATTTTGAAGTGTCTAAGAGCAGTGAGGTGCCCAGTCCCAGGTGCCCAGTGGGGAAAATGAGGTGTGCTGTCACCTCCAGCGGGTTCCTGAAGGGATGTGCGACCCCCAAGGCTCTCCGAGCGTGCAAGCTGAGCCATGATTTCTGGAAGTGCAATGCAGAAACCCTCTGTGGGCACTGATGTGCCTCTCCAGCAACAGGAGTAGCCTAGATTTACACCCTTAAAGACAACCCAGCCTTGACTTCTACCCGTGCTCAAGAGCAGCAGGCCAGGATGAGGATGGGTGCATGGACCAAGCCAGGGCTGGGCAAGGGAGGCCAGACGTGGTGGAGTAAGAGTGACTACACCCTGAAACAGAGATAAGGCACTTAGGCGGGATGAAAAATCTTCAAAAATCATAAGCAAGGTGTTTCATTAATAAAAGTAATTAATGCCATGACTGCTGAGAAATCAGACAAGTTCAGATAGTTTCCTGTCACCTGATGACCAGCTAATGGCTGTGAACATTGAGAGCAATTCTTTTTTTTCCCAGATAAGATGCAATTTAATTTCAGCATCTTGAAATGTTTTACAGAGTGCAGTTGTGTCTCCTCCTTGCTGACACAACACCCAGTAGTTCAGGGAACACTAGGGCATGTGATTACAGGGCAGATCCCAGGCAGATACACCATATAATTAGGGCTGATGTAT